TGGTGTGTGGGCTGACACTTTAACCATTGACCCACACTGGCCAGAACAATATTGCCTGTTTTTTAATCAATAACTTCTAAAATCAGTCCATAGTGATAACTACTATTATCTAACAATATCAATCTCAGCTAGCCAGTGTGACTCAGTGGCTGGGCATTGACCTACGAACCAGGAGGTCATGGTTCAATTCCCAGTCAGGGCATATGCCTGGGTTGCAGGCTCGATCCCCAGTAGGAGGTGTGCAGGAGGCAGCTAATCAATGATTCTCATCATTGATATTTCTATCTCTCTCTAAAAGTATATTTAAAAAATAAAAATAACAATCTTTATCGTAAGCTAGACATAAAGGCATTTATCAAAGTGTTATTGATAAGCAACATTAGTGAGAGAGAGACAATCATATTTACAAGAAATTTGAGGCTTTTTCACTTGTAGACACCTAGAAATTTAACCTAACCATAATAAAATATGCGTGGCTATGAGGAAACATTTTTAATTAATGAAATTCTTTTTTTAGACAGAGAAAGTTTACTTGACCTTCAGGAAAGTGGAGATATTTGCAAGACATTAGGGTAAATTTTAGGACTAAATACAAAATCTCTGGAGAAGGTTTGGGAAGAAATTACTTGAGGCTTCTTGCGAATTTTATTATGGTTTGATCATAAATACCATGCAAATATCCTTTGTCAGTGTGTTTTGGCAGTTCTTCCTAGGAGACCAAGGAGTGAAGGGGATTAAAAAATAAAAAAAAAAAGGAAAATGAGGTTGATTTTAGACTAGAAAAATGCAGTGGGGAATTCTATAACTTTTTAGCCAATTTTCTACCTCATTCCTGTGTCCACTATACAGTATTCCAAAATCTTTACAGAAACCAAAACTGCAAACTTCAAATTGAATCAAAACGTCATCTCTACCAACAATGTTGAGAATAACAAAAATGTAATCTCATCATTGTTCTACTATAGCAGTTAGGGTGCTTTAGGGTCTCAGAGACTAAACACTCAGGCCTAAGGTTAGAAAAGGGAATGTCCCGGGTCACAGAATCTAGGGAGGTTGACCACAGAGCTCTTGGGAGAAGAGGTACACCTTGACCTCCGAAACAAATACAGCTAAGAATGTCCTGTCTGGACCTGCTGTTTGTCTCTACTTCTCTCTGTTTACCTGCGTCATCCTCTCTCTTCATAAATCTTATTCTACATGGGATATATGAATTCCTTTGTTGTACCTCTTATAGCTATAGTCACTTGTGGGGAATAAACTTCTTTGATGCTCTCTTTGGAACAAAGTCCTAAAATCATAGGGAAGGGATTGGTCCAGGCTACCCCTGGACCATGTGGTCTGTTGAATGCCTCAATTCAGATTAGTCCACTTCACGTGCAGCTTAATTCACTGTGACTAGGGGAGCAGGATCATGCAATAATAACATGGCAGCTGCCATGGGTATCATAAGGCTTGGCAACAGGGAAAATGGGGAACCGTTCCCAGGCAAAGGGGAGTGTTGTGGCGTGAGGCAGGAAAAACCCACATTATATCCATGATGATTATACGTAGTTCATGGAAGGCTAGGGTCTAGCCCACTTAAATGACTCTAGATGTTGAGATACATAACTCGCATACCTATACCACATGAAGCAAAGTCCTGATGGAGCAAATAGAATAAATGATTGAGTGCTATCTTCCTCATGAAACTCTTTTTGAATACTTATGTGGGCCCTATCGAATGAACTCTTGCAAGTATTTATGATGGCCACTACAGTTTATCACATAATTGTTCTACAATTGTTTGAATAGTAGGCCTAAGTTTCTAGCTCAACTATAGGTATCTTATCTTATGCTTCTTTTGACTGGAAGACTTCTACATCAAGATTAGTGTTAAGGACATAATTTATTCCACATATAGTCCATAAATGATTTTTGAGAGCCTAATTGCTAGGCAACATCCTCAATCATGATACAAAGATAATCAAAGATGATCCTTAAAGAAAGCACATGATTTCATGTTTTTTGTCTCCATGTCACTTGACATAGAAGTCTAGCATGGCCAAATTTGATCTAGCAAGTGAATTGCCTCTCCAAACACCAGTGATGTATCTAAATGCAGTTTAGTTTGCCTATCCAGAAAAATCAGAATTTCCCTCCCTTTTAAGCCAAAAAGCTATTAATGCAAATCCAAATTAATTTGCATTTGATTGCATTTCTGATGGAAACATTCATGTGCAAATCAAAATTCATGTAAAAATAGCCAGATAATTCAAATAGTTGCTGAAATATCAAGATAAAATTAGGATGTTAAATGTACATCTATCATATCTACTAGGACTAAGGACCTTTAAATGGGACAGTGCTCTTGAAATAAGTCACGTCTTGAACATTTAACATTTGAGTAGATCTGGGTTCAGAAGAGAGCTATTGCATTACTTTCTACCGCCAGAGTGCTGAAAAAGAAGTCAGCCATTGGCCAAATCCGTTAAGTTGTTCAAAACAGGTTCATCTGGATCCACCATTTTTCCCCCTTTATCTTTTTCTTGCCCTTCAAAACAAAAGATTTTGATAGATCTGAAGTGATTTTGATTAGCCCAAACCGAAGACAGATAGTTTGTTCAAGTTGGCAGTTGCTTCATACTTTCTAGTGACTTAATGGTGCAAGTTAAATGACACCATCGCAATCATCACCAATAAGTATGTTTTGGGAAACATCCACAGCATCATGAGTATACCAGTGGAACAGTGATCTGACTTATTCTTCTAAAAAAATATTTAAGATTTAAGATTCCAAGATTCCAAGAAAAGATTTAAGCCAAATTTTAAGATATAAATTATTAATCCACTATTGCACATTCCAAAGCTATATTTGAAGGACATATAGGTCTTGGAATCACACCATTGCTCTTGTTGAAATTAACAGAAGTTGCAGTGGCAAAAGAGAAAAGTTTGAGATCACCGTATTTAGGATCCTTAGCACTTAGTTTAATAGTCTACAAAGTGTAATGCTCCCCGGTTCTCTTTTATTTGATCCAAAGTATTAGCTTATAGTTTCAAGTCTTTTTAGCATTCCAGTGGCTCTACTTTGGTGAATGTCACCTACCGTACATCAAATTTGAAAAACCTGAACATGAAGGAGGATCTTAGCCTCATCCTCTTTGGCACACCCGGTTCTTCCCCAACACTAGTGATTTTACTTCGGAAGTATCTCTCAAATCTAGCCATTTCTCTTGTAGTCTCTATCACCAATTCCTTAACTTTTATCTTTTGCAATCCTTGTCACGCCATAGCTGGATTTGTCATTTAAAAATGCAGATAATCCATAATTCCATCCAACCATTCCCCTTGCTTAATACCCTTCAATGTCTTCCTGTTTCTCTTAGAATAAAACCCAAACCCTTAACAGGGCTGACACAGGCCACATGGTCTGGTTCCTGCCTGCCCCCTCACCCTTGCATCACGCTGGTCCGCTTTCACTCTGCACTCCAGCACTGTCCTTTCAGATCCTGGGATGTACCATGTCCTTCCAGTCACCACTGCTCTTCCCTAGCTTCTAATTTAAAACTTCAGGCATTTTCCATTAAAGCGTTCCTGACCTTCCAGACCCCATCAGGTCCCCCTGTTACTTCTTCCATGCCACCATGCAACTTCCTTTCATTATACTTGAGTTTGTAATGTCATATTTGTTTTTGAGACTATATCACTTGTATTAACTGCTCTCGTGGCTTTCTGAAGTATGAGACTGGATCCGTTTTTTGCTTATCCAAACAAGACCAGATGAGTGTCACATACCAGGCATTCAGTAAATACTTGTTGAATTCATGGAAGGTTCCACTTCCTATTCTCATCTATAATTCACACGTTCATAACAGTGAAAGCCAAAAATAAAAATAAAAATGGACTGACTTGCTTGAAGATCACCCTGCCACAAATTGCCAGAGAGAATTAGTATAGCGAGTTCTGTGATATCTTTTATGGCAGAGAAGGCGAGATGAAGAATATGGTGTTCTCAAGGTTAACTGCTCTCAGAAACTGTGAAAGTGGAACTCCACCATGAATTGTACAAAGCAAAGGACTTTCTGTCACCTCCTTGTAGTGGAGAATAATGTAACAGACACTCTCCCAACTCTGTCTTATGCATAAAAATTTTATTTAGATTATTTAAGCCCCACTCGTTTCAGAAACATACCTAGTAGTTTCAAATATACACAGTCTTGTCACACAAGTTGCTAAAATTGATTTATAACTATTATTCATTTCATGGGAATAGAGTCATAATTACAGTATTTAAAAGTAACATCAAACTCACACAGCCATATAGCCATTTTCTTAGCTTACCCTGTTACCTCTTATTTCTATCAGTCATGAGCTTAATTTTATTTTCAGCAGCTTTAAAATACTGAGCTACATACTGAAATTATAGGATAAGATAAACTGCCACATTCCATGATTTTTTAAAACACAGTCCCAGTATTATCTCTCTAGGAATATCTGTGCTTTTGCATCTGTCTGGGAGTATGTAGTCCTGGTTGTCTGTGATATTCAGAGTGGAGCGTTAAAAGCTTATATTTAGCAACAGGATGTAGCTGTGGTTAGGGACGTTAAGTTTAGTGGACAATAAAAAATTAAATATACCTTTATTAAAAGAGAAGGAAGTTTTATATAGGCTATTAAAGTAGCTCTGAGCTAATATTATCTCTCCCTCTTATGAATCTTAGAATGTAGTTCAGCTTTTTCAAAAAATTTCCCTAGAAATCATTTGTGAAATTATGTGGACGAGTATCCCTGGAAAAAGAAAATAAAACTTGCCTATGTAACTTAAAGCAAAGTCCTCTTTTTCTGTATATACGAGTAAACATGTAACCCCAAACCAGTCACCTGCAACATTTCTTACAAATAAACTAGGCATTTTTAGTCTTTTTGTAAGTTACCATGTCTTCCTAACAATGATGTAAGCAGACTTGGACTCCTAGGAGGAAGGCCCTGAAAACACATGTCTTCTCCTTTTATGATTTCAGTTAAGAATGCAAACTGCACAGCAGACTTTGAGGAATACTTTGCCAAAAGGAAACTGGAGGAACGCGATGTCCACGCGGTCAGCATCGAGGAGTACCTTCAGCGCAGTGACACCGCCATCATTTACCCAGAGGCCCCCGAGGAGCTGTCTCGCCTTGGCACGCCCGAGGCCAATGGGCAGGAAGAAAATGGTGAGGCTGTAATTCATTTTTAGCCACTACACTGACCTCTGCAGCTGTTACAATTACAAATGCACTACATGCCTGGGTGTTTACCTTAAAATTTGAAGAACAGCTGCAGAGGCATGGAATTTCATGAGCAAAGATTAGAACTGTAATTTTAGGGTATTGTGAAATTTTTTTTGTCAGCAAATTTGTGTCATTTGTACATCCAATAAAGAACAAGAACAATTAGAGCCTATTTCTAAGAGATAAAAATATCTAAATGGATTCCCATCTTTCTGAAATATTCCACTTTTCAAGGCAGAAACTCACACACACGCACACACACACGAAAGTTTAGAAAGACTGACCCTAACCTTTTGTTCTTTACGGACACCTGACAAGCCCCTTCACACTGTGAATTCCTGAGTCATTTGTGACTCCAGGTTTACTACGTACTGTCAGTCACGTCAAGAGAAGCTCCTCATTTATCAGCTGTTTAACCCCCCCCCCCCACATCCCCCCCCAAAGCTCAAGTAATTAATTAATTTCCCAGCGCAGTGTGAGCTGATTCCGACAAGTCTGTCCCGGGTGCGCGCGGGGCCGGGTGCGCTGATGGCACTCGCGTGCACAGACTGCCCTGATTCCTGTCATGCCATCCCGGGCAGCCAGCCCATTAGCTGCCATTGATTTACTGACCTTTTGGCCCGCTTCTCTCCCTCCCGTCTCTGGGCTACAGACCTGCCACCTGGAACTCCAGATGCTTTTGCCCAACTGCTGACCTGCCCCTACTGCGACCGGGGCTACAAGCGCCTGACATCCCTGAAGGAGCACATCAAGTACCGCCACGAGAAGAATGAGGAGAACTTCTCCTGCCCTCTGTGTAGCTACACGTTTGCCTACCGCACCCAGCTCGAGCGGCATATGGTGACGCACAAGCCAGGGACAGATCAGGTGGGGGGTTGGTTTTAAGTGATTTCTTTCTATAATAACCCCTTAGAGAAACGATATTGCTTTGATTGGCAATCATTATTAATTTTTCATGGCATTTTGAAGATGCAGATCTTTTAATGGTAATAGCTTTAATTGAGGTCTAAATGATTTTTTGATGGTCTCTTCTAATATGATTTAATAGTCTTATGTTCACGATCGAATGAGTGTGTTAATTTCTAATTTAGAAATTTTATTTGCACTTTAACTTGACTTTAGTTTCATTTTTATGTTCCACAAAAAAGTGAATGAAATTGTAGCATTTTAATTATACATTATTAAACATCTCAGCAATTTTAATTCCATTTTTCACCCCGTTTTACTGGGGGAATTTTTTTTCCATATAGGATCTAAGTCAGAGTAAAAGAAATGTGTGTTTCACTTGTTGTATAACACCTTCAATTACTTAGAGTATTTTTACAAGTAGTTGCTAGTTTATGAAATCTAATTAAGTGTTTTAAGGAAATTTTTAAAAAGCATATAATATATGTGCATATATTGAACATAAACTGGATTACTGCTAAAATGTTGGCTATACATTAAAAATGATCCCTTCTTGATATGCATGTTTATTGCTGAATGGTAAAATCACTCGGCCTCGTTTGGCTTACTTGTGTTAAAAATAAAAACTCTATCTTTGACAGGTAAGCAAAGCTTCTTAAATCCTTAAAATGATTGGATAGGATTGACTCACAGTGTCTCTTCCATGCTTTAGCAAAGCTGCTCTTTCTGTCCTCCTGGGAGAACTGACGGCACATTGATATTGTGACGTATTCGGGTGGTAACAGAAATGGTGTGTCTGCGTCCCAGCACCTGGCCCTCCAGAGCTGGAATCCCCCTAGAGAAGCCTCGCCACCATATCTGTTTTAAAAATTATTAAACAGGATATGCTACAAAACTCTTAAGTTTTGTTTCCTTTGGGCTTTATTTTCTTTGACTAAAGAAAATGAGACTAAGCAAACACAATCAAGCAATGATGATGGCACTATATTATGGAACTTTACTCTTTTAAGAGAACATTTCATGTAAATCACTCCATTTACATCTGACTGGGCTTGTCACCTGAATGTTTTTCAAAGTTCAGTTACAAAAACTATGCTTGCATAGCTACACTTACGTAACAGTTTACCTCCCCTTTCTTATGTGCACACACACTCTAGGGGAAAAAAAGGGCCTAGATATTTATCTAGCATAACTGCTTTAAATTTCACATGCAGAAGTGTGATTGTGTTGGCGCATTATGAATGGTAGCTTTGGTGTTGAAAAGTCCCCTCATTTGCTCATGGCATTTACAATTAGTAAATTAAAATGATTGTATCATATTAACAGTGGCACAACTAAAGTTTATAGTAGTCCTCTGAGGGCTGTGGGGGGAGACAAAGCAGCTGTTGCTGTTTGTTTATGCAACTCAGCAACATATGAGCGCTGGTCCCTCAATGGCGCTCTGCGGGCTGGGCTCCGCTTGATCTTTGAAGGTTGCTGCTGTTTGAACAAACCTCCCTGTGTCCCATGTAACACCATCTGTCTCACTAGGAATGTGGGAAGATTCAGCACACCCTAGCAGTTGTCATACCGTTTCTGTGCTGTCTTTTTGCAAAAGGCTTTTGTGTCATTGCTGCTTGAAAAAGGCTGACCTCCTACCTTGAGCATCCAGAGTGGATGACTGTATTTTTTCTTTCCTTCAGAATTCGAAGTCACAGTGCTTTTTATTTCCTTGTTCAAAAAGGTCAGCTGTGTTTGATTATATCTTCGCTGCTTTTAACTCGTCTTTTCAGCAAACTTTTTTTCTTTTTCTTTTTTGGTCCCTACTCCCTAGCACAGTACTAAAAAGGAAAATGAGAAGTCGTTGAAGTCTTTCCCACTGGCCTGTGATAAAACTGCTCAAGATGTTGGCTCTTACATTTGATAATGAATCAGATCTGATAGGCAGCACCTCAGGAAGAAGAGGGTTTACACTTGCTCCTAGCGCAGAGAAGGAGCCCTTTAAACATGCTTGTCCTGTAATGACATGTTCACAGTGAAGGGGTTGTTGTTTTTTTGTTTGTGTGAGGTTTTATTTTTCTTTCTTTTTCAGATTTGGTTTTGCTTCAGTGTAAGACACACTTTTACCCTGATACAGAAAATGTGATAAAATGAGTTGTTAGTGTGAGGGGACTTACTGGTGGTGGGGGGGGGGGGGGGGGGGGGGATGTGGGGACTATTTAGAATTTTCAGGATAATATTTATTTTTTTCTTGACAAACTAGTTGCATTCCATCAGGAAACCTTCAGATTTTCAAATCTGCTGTAAACACGGAGAACCACAAACATGTTCACAATTATGCTTTCTCCTCTTGAAAGGCTCAGAGAAACATTTTGGAAGAGATACTACAGAGATAATTCTAAAGCAAGTAGTTGGATGCTCATGTGAAAGCACTTTTTTTTTTTGTTCCAATTTTATTGCCAACATTATCACTTTTATTGCAACTCTGAAAGACTGGGCAAATAAATAAACATGCACTCAAACCTTTTGGCCTGTCTAAAAAAAAAAGAGGCCTTTTAAAAATATTTGTAGCAAATTTCCTTTGTTTCTCCTGCACAAAACTGATGTCAGTCTTTCTCCTTTTATAGCACCAAATGCTGACCCAAGGAGCAGGTAATCGCAAGTTCAAATGCACGGAGTGCGGCAAGGCCTTCAAATATAAACACCATCTGAAAGAACACCTGCGAATTCACAGTGGTGAGTAGCAGGGGTGCTGGTGCTCACCTGTGCATTTTGCTTCATTAGGGGAGTCTAAAAGATTGCTTAAAAGGTACACAATCTTGCTTGTAGCTTTTTGGAACTCCCCACTTATTTTCTAAACGACGTGTGCCTGCTTTGTCTCCATGAGACTATGTACAAACCAAAAGCATGATCTTGGTAGTAAGCAAGAAGAAGAATGCTTATAGTTCTTAAAAACCGCAAATGCTTTGATTTATCACAAAATCTAGAAGCTCCCTTTTTTTCCTTAAAAAAAACCCTCCTACAGATTAAATATTGTTGACCTGAAGAAGCTCCAATGTCAAATTCTAAAGAATATTCATTTTTGATACCTAACCATGAAAGAGAAAAATTGAAGAATTTTGGAAAAGAGCTTTTGTACCATACATATTCCTTGATTCCTGAGAGTTGTATGTTACAAAACAACATCCTACCACCGAGATTTCTCCTTTGTAACTATTTTGATAGTTCTGCCAAGCATTTTATTGCCACATTGGATGCCACTCAGAGGACTAGCTGGATTGGTAGAATCAATGGAATCTCTGAAGAATTGATTAAAGCCATGGCTATCCTTCCCTTTTATACTGTGACATCTTTATTGTGCTATTGACCACACATTAATCTGACACTATGTTTAAAAGGAGGCTGCCGATGGCAAGACAAGATTTGGGGTCTTGGCTGAAAAAGGTATAGCCCTCACCTTCCATTGCTAACATCTTGAATTATGTCCTCCCAGGGTAGAAAAAGCCCAGAAACAGTTATGGCCACATAATTCTAACCTAAGTCCCGAGAACGTAGAGGTACCTCATTGTGTTCCTTTCCTTTGGTTTCACAGATTCTTGTTTTGGTAGACAATTGTAGTCATTACTTAATCAAAGACATATAATGTTAACTCTAATTGTCATTCCAGGTGAAAAACCATACGAGTGCCCAAACTGCAAGAAACGTTTCTCCCATTCCGGTTCCTACAGTTCACACATCAGCAGCAAGAAATGTATTGGTTTAATCTCTGTAAATGGCCGAATGAGAAATAATATCAAGACGGGTTCTTCCCCTAATTCTGTTTCTTCTTCTCCTACTAATTCAGCCATTACCCAGTTAAGAAACAAATTGGAGAATGGAAAACCACTCAGTATGTCTGAACAAACAGGCTTACTTAAAATTAAAACAGAACCACTAGACTTCAATGACTATAAAGTTCTTATGGCCACACACGGGTTTAGCGGCACTAGTCCCTTTATGAATGGTGCACTTGGAGCCACCAGCCCTTTAGGAGTTCATCCGTCCGCTCAGAGTCCAATGCAGCACTTAGGTGTAGGGATGGAAGCCCCTCTACTTGGATTTCCCACAATGAATAGCAACTTAAGCGAGGTACAAAAGGTTTTACAGATTGTGGACAATACGGTTTCCAGGCAAAAAATGGACTGCAAGGCTGAAGAAATTTCAAAGTTGAAAGGTTATCACATGAAGGATCCATGCTCTCAACCTGAGGAACAAGGAGTTACCTCTCCTAATATTCCACCCGTAGGTCTTCCAGTAGTGAGTCATAATGGTGCCACTAAAAGTATTATTGACTACACATTAGAAAAAGTCAACGAAGCCAAAGCTTGCCTCCAGAGCTTGACTACTGACTCAAGGAGACAGATCAGTAATATAAAGAAAGAGAAGCTACGTACTTTAATAGATTTGGTCACTGATGACAAAATGATTGAGAACCACAGCATATCCACTCCATTTTCATGCCAGTTCTGTAAAGAAAGTTTTCCTGGCCCCATTCCCTTGCATCAGCATGAACGTTACCTTTGTAAAATGAATGAAGAGATCAAGGCAGTCCTGCAACCTCATGAAAACATAGTCCCCAACAAAGCTGGAGTTTTTGTTGATAATAAAGCCCTCCTCTTGTCATCTGTACTTTCTGAGAAAGGAATGACAAGCCCCATCAACCCATACAAGGACCACATGTCTGTACTTAAAGCATATTATGCTATGAACATGGAGCCCAACTCTGATGAACTGCTGAAAATTTCCATTGCTGTGGGCCTTCCTCAGGAATTTGTGAAGGAATGGTTTGAGCAACGAAAAGTCTACCAGTATTCAAATTCCAGGTCACCATCACTGGAGAGGAACTCCAAGCCGTTAGCTCCCAACAGTAACCCTCCCACAAAAGACTCTTTATTACCCAGGTCTCCCGTAAAACCTCTGGACTCCATAACATCACCATCTATAGCAGAACTCCACAACAGTGTTACGAATTGTGATCCTCCTCTCAGGCTAACAAAACCTTCCCATTTTACCAATATTAAACCAGTTGAAAAATTGGACCACTCAAGGAGTAACACTCCTTCTCCCTTAAATCTTTCCTCCACATCTTCTAAAAACTCCCACAGTAGTTCTTACACTCCAAACAGCTTCTCTTCTGAGGAGCTCCAGGCTGAGCCTTTGGACCTGTCATTACCAAAACAAATGAAAGAACCCAAAAGTATTATAGCCACCAAGAACAAAACAAAAGCTAGTAGCATAACCTTAGACCATAACAGTGTTTCTTCATCATCTGAAAACTCAGATGAGCCTCTAAACTTGACTTTTATCAAGAAGGAGTTTGCAAGTTCAAATAATCTGGACAACAAAAGCACTAACCCAGTGTTCGGCATGAACCCATTTAGTGCCAAACCTTTATACACAGCTCTTCCTCCACAAAGCGCATTTCCCCCTGCCACTTTCATGCCACCAGTCCAGACCAGTATCCCTGGGCTACGACCATACCCAGGACTGGATCAGATGAGCTTCCTACCACATATGGCCTATACCTACCCAACTGGAGCAGCTACTTTTGCTGAGATGCAGCAAAGGAGAAAATACCAACGGAAACAAGGATTTCAGGTAATGAGACATACCTTTTTGCTGTGGAAGAGATGAAAATAATATCGTTGATGTGCGTGCAGGAGAAAAAATGATAGTGAAAAAAATCAAGTGTTATGGTTTCAGCAGAAATAGAAGAGTTTGTTTTAATTTGAACCTAGACTAGGAAATTAAATGAAGAAAGAGTAGAACACTGTACTCTTTAAGCATATTTGCCTTAAAAATAGAATGTACTTAATATGTATTTTTAAGGTCCATTTAGATTGACTCATCTACTTTTGGAATTGTGCTTTGATAACAATATTTGCTATTACTTCCATAGATGCTAAAAGTTAACATTTATAAGTCACAGCTGTTCACAATTGCATGTATAATTTTGATGTGCACTTGGTTTTATAAAGAATTTTGAAGAGTATTCTAAAAATTATTTTGCACATTCCACATGACTTTTTATATAATTCCAAACTAGTAAGTAATTTGTGGTTTTTTCAAATACAAAAGCAGGTATGTTTTAACATCATGCTGTATAATCCCTGCTGGCAAAATAGGAGCATAAGTAGCATGCACCTCCGTAACAGCTGTCCCCGTATTCCATTTGACAGTACATCTGCCCTCTTTGTAAATGTATTTAAGCCTATTTAATCTTCTCTAATATTAATTAGTGCAAATGTAGTCTAAGAAAGCTGAACTGTGGACTAGCAAATGGAAATGTATGTTATCATGCAAGTTTGCACTCCTTGGATCAAGACAAAATAAATATCAAGAAATTTAATAATTTACTGATCCACATTCATTATTGTTCAATGCTGAAGGCTGTTTTAACATAGATAGAACATTGATAAAAAGTGTTATTAATATTCCCTATTTCAAATTAGAAAATTAAATATAAAAATATAGCTTGAGGCCTTTAGTTGGTAGACATACATTTAAATAGATTGCATAATAATAACATTTTGTACCTAAATATAAAATTCAATTAAAATGGGGTTTCTGCAGCTACATATCATTTCTGAAGTCAAGCACCCTGGAAAACACACAAATTCTGATGCTGAATTTTCATTCATGGGTATTTCCTGATATAGAGACAATTAAGGATTTTAGAAAATGTTATGTTTTTCTCACTTTTAGAATTAACCATTTTCTATCCTTGAAAAACTATGAGCTCTACCAGCTAGGATAGTGAAGGTTTTTGTTGACATGTGAGACCTCATGTGCTGTTTGTGTAAGTTAATAAGTTTTTTTTTAAAAAAAAAAACAAAAAACTAGACGAATTAATAGCAAGCATGATGAGGTTCTCCAAATGTCAGCCTATGCAAAGTTGTTTGGTATCAATACAAAGAGAAGAGACTGTGTTGAACTGTGTGATTACATCACAGGGAGAATTGCTTGATGGAGCGCAGGACTACATGTCAGGCCTAGATGACATGACAGACTCCGACTCCTGTCTGTCTCGAAAGAAGATCAAGAAGACAGAGAGTGGCATGTATGCGTGTGACTTATGTGACAAGACATTCCAGAAAAGCAGTTCCCTTCTGCGACACAAATACGAACACACAGGTATGAGTGACTTTGACTAGCTAGTTAGAGCTTCCTGGCCTGCTGTACATTTCATAATATTTAATGAGTACACTTGTGCAACATAAGATGTAGCATATGCTGATACCTTCAACAAGGAAGAAATAACGCTTTTTGCCTAGCTCAGTAGGACTTTCTCATTGCCTGTTTATTGGATTACTTATGTGTTTGTGAGTGTGCTTGTCTTTCTATCTTCTGAATTAATCTGTACCCCAAATTCACTAATCATGTCAAAGGTATCTATAAATGGCCAGGAAGATGAAATGGCATGCATGATTCAATCAAGCTATTGAAAATATCTTCAAATACTGAAGCTGTGATGAACTTATATATGTAAAAATTTAATAACAAAAGAAATTTAGTCAATGCTGTGTGAATTTCATCATACAAAATTTAAGTAGGCCATGATTCAGAGGTGATTCTGTTTGGTTTTAATAAATTGGCCATATTTTGAATAAAATAAAAGTGTTAGTTCTGTGAAAGAAAAGACATAAGTAATATAATAGGCCAAATATGCTACTGAAACTACTTATATTTAGAAGACTAAAATAAAACTTTCTAAATTCATTTCCAATTTAGAAAAATTATAAAGTTGACAAGATGGCAGCCTAATTCTTCTCTTTGAGTAGAGAGATAGTGAGTTAATTTTTTAAAAGAAAGGTGAAGTACCATCATGTGAAGCAATATTACTTCCCATGATCCAAGATCTGATCTGCAACTCTGTGGTGCAGTGATGCTGTGTTCCCTCCTGCCTCCGTCTCCCTCCACACTTCACAGCAAAGTAATTCAGCCTCATCCCTGTCCCTAACCCATCCCCAGCTTTTCTCCACGAGAAACTTGGCATGCTTTACTGACCCTAGATGGGAAAAGGAAGAGCGTAGGATTTCAATCAAAGTATTGTCAGGGGAGCCCTAATCGGTTTGGCTCAGTGGATAGAGTGTGGGCCTGCGGACTGAAGGGTCCCAGGTTCGATTCCGGCCAAGGGCATGTACCTTGGTTGCGGGCAAATCCCCAGTAGGGTGTGTGCAGGAGGCAGCTGATGGATGTTTCTCTCTCATCGATGTTTCTAACTCTCTATCCCACTCCCTTCCTCTCTGTAAAAAATCAATTAAAAAAAAAAAAAAACATTGGCAGGGGAAAATTATAGAAAATTTTTCATTTTAAACCAGGAAGTCTGGTAACAAATATTTTAATATAGAGGGGAAAAATCAACCTAACATTAATGCTTTTGGGGGGAAAAGTGATGAAGAGAAAAAACAAGAAAAAGAAATAAAAAGGACTGGCAATATTTTCTGTCATACTTTGTCTAAATACATAGCACTCTTTTTAGAGACTGAACACTATCCTTGGGAAGCACTTCCTATTCATCAGCTTCCCTTTTCCTCACTGAGCATGTGCTGGAGGCAGCACCAGTGACCGGAATCAGCCAGAGAGTCGGGGGGAAAGTTGTGTGAGTTCTGTAATATGAAGTGTTGAGAGTAATGTGAAGAGAACAAGGTTGATAAGTAACAGTGTTCTTACTCTAGGTCAGTTTTCTTTTCTTTCAACTGTGACATTAACTGCTATTATTTTCAGTTCAAATAAAGATACTCTAATGACAACTTAATTTGAATAGCAGATCCCAAAAGTTTTTATACTTGTGTGATATAATTCAAAATTTGATATGTCAAAATTTTCCTACATTTGTCTTTTTTGATAGCTATCATAGATATTTTCTTTAGTACCAAGTCCTATTTAAGTATTTTTAGAGTAAAGATATTTTCATACCTAAATTTACTTTAATATTTTAATCAACCTCAAATATATTTTTATTTCATTATTCAGCTGCAATAGGCACATCACTGAAGGCATCTTTCCCTCTCTGATTGGTTTTATTATATGACCATATGCAAACTCTATCATTTGCTACATGGTGAGTGTAAAACTTTTATTTTAGTGAGGGCTATCATACATATTGACATCCAGTCAATAACTTTTTTTTAAATAAATTACATAGTCCATAAATTTCATAGGTATATAGAAAGTTGAGAGACCCAAAAGTTGACAAACATAAATACACATAATCAATTTGAAAAATACGTTGTATTTAAAAAAATAAAATGTTCTGGTCCTTTAAGATGTGAGATCTGCTGCCTAGAAACATTGCTTAGCAACAAGATGCTAACCATCCAATGGTTTCTCTGTGTGATTAAGTATCCTCCTGTTGGCTTAACCGCTTGTCAAGTTTCCAGTGTGTTAACTTTTTGGTCTCTTGACCAAACATCTCATGATGTAACTACTGTCAGTGTATCAGGTTTCATCAAAGTGAAGTTCTTCATGAATTTTCTATCTTTATGATATATGTGGAAATTTAGTCCATTTTCCTTCCCTAATTTGGCCCCAAAAGCCTTGTATTTGTTTATATTAAGCACTAGTAATACATTGAAAATGTAATAATATGAAAATTATAAGTGAGAACAGTCTTTGGGTTGATTGAGTCTAAGGTTGGGAAATGAAGTCGAATCATCATTTGAAAATATGTTAAGAATGTGTCATTGATAAAGTGTGTTTCTTACATGTTCACAATTTAACCTATAGGATAGTTTAAATTAATAAGGAAATTATGAGCTACTTATTCTTGTGATCCTATGCTCTTTCACTTCGACCTGTTTAATTTATTCCTAGGCAGACACCAATGATATAATGCTTAATTTTTCTTACCAATGGTGTACTGCTTGCTTGCTTTTCCTGGGAACTGGGCCTGCGAAAGAGGGAAAAAAACACTACGTAAATGTTGACTTTGATAGGATAAATTGCCATGAACAAGTACTGTGAAATAAAAAATCTGAAACCCCTGTTAGACACTGTTAAGAACTCATTTGCATTCCACTAAAATTTAAATTTGACATTTATTGAGTACTTTCTCTATTGAAATATTGAGGTAGGCACTTTTAAACCCACCTTATTTGGAAAAGTAATAAAAATGTTTCTGCTTTTAAGTCGATAAAGTAGAAGTTTTACATAAATGACTAGTCAATTTTATTTCTCAGTTGTATGATAATATTTTTCATACCACAAACCTTCCATTTATTAATTTCAGTTATCATTCCAGCTGTCAGGTGAATCATGAACCTCAATAGTAGAAAAAATTACCCTTAAAAAGTTTTGATCATTCAGTGTCAATTTGGATGTCTTTTCTGAACCTTATTCATGTGGGAATTTAATTCCAGGATGTCTTGATTTGAATTGGGTAAACCAATCAAACAAGTTCAAAAGAGCTGAATGTTCAAGTCAGTTTCTATTTAAATAGAATTTCCTAAATGCTTAGCAGTGAAACTTCTGGAGATTTAGTGCAAGATATAGGTCAGAACTCCCCACCCTTCACTTCCAAATTCTGACCTTTGTATACATAATAACTGAGCATTTTACTCTTTCATATCGGCAGTTCATAATGCAGAATTGATATATTTTTATTGTAAGCATATTGTTTATTATCAAATGAATTCCCCGAAAGTTGGTTGCCTGTAACGATGGAGTATTTGTGTAATAGACTGCAGTTTAGTGGGCATCACCCAAGCATTTCTAACAGGCCTTGAAACTTGTTCTGGAGAGTGTGTGTTCTCTCTAAAGATACTGCTTTGTGTTTGGTTCCTTTGGAAAAGAGAGAGGCATGTCAACTGCGATGTTCATTCAGAATTTTTCACACAGCCGATCCATGAGTGACCCATCTGGTTGACCTTTTAGTGCTCCTGACCTGATGAGACATTAGTTTCTAAAGGAGGTTGTGGGACAGTTCAACCAATACATGCTTTAGCAAGGAAAGCACCAAGAAATCTTTCATCTGCAATTTCTCTTCTCTCCACTCAGATTTCTTTCTTCTATTTACTCTGCTCCTGATACATGCATCTTGCTTGCGACTTGGGTAATTATTGAAAATGTATTAATGAATGCAAATAAAAGGATCTAACATTAACTGAGTGCTTACAATGTACTATCCTTATACTAGACACTCTTCTTACCTATGTTGTCTCCTTTACTCATATGCCCAGTCCATAAGTTCGGTCTCCAAATGATTTCTCTTTTACTGACAAGAACCTTGGTCCTTAAGGAGGTTAACATAACTGAGACTGCACAGCGGGTCATAAAAGTGGATTTAAACCCAAGCAATCAGACTCCAGAACCCATCTCCCCTATTTAGC